AATTTGAAATGAAATCTTTCCGTTAGTTATTTTGTACCACAATAAATGTTGTTAAAAGGTATATATCAAGATGAGATGTGTAGCAGAAGGAGATTTCAGAGGTGCTTCCCGGTGGTTATCCTCATTCTCAAGATACCGTGCACACACATATCTAGGGGCTTTGTTTCATTTGCATAGAATGCCAGCCTGTGCCAGGAATTATTTGCATTTGACAAAAATGCAAATGTAACCCCCCTCATTTAAAAAAAGTACATGTTTAAGTGTAACATTAGGTTGGCTATAATAATATGCTATTACAGTGACTATTTAGTGAGCGTTCATATTTTAGGAGGGTAAATGTTTGAGTTCAACATACTTGTGGATTTCCTCTAGTTAAGAGATTTTTAAAGAAAAAAAAAAAGATATTGGGATATACCATTGTGCCATATATAGTAACTGAAAATGTCATCCAGTCACAAACCAGTTTTTTGCTACTTCCTTACTAGTATAGGCCCAGAAATTGATTCAAATCTAGCTCTTTTCCTATTCAACTTGTATGTCCCAGCCTACACACCGTTGCATTTGCCTCCAGCTGCCCCCTCAAAATGAAGTTAGAATTAATATTTTCAACGGGACTGTTCAGTCCGGTAGATTACGGGTAGTCTTTTGACAAACTGAAACGAGAAACAAAATGTATTCTGGTTTACAAGAACTGATTCAGTGTCAGTTCCTCACAACGTTTTGTATGTACATGAAATAATTTTCTATAGTGTCATTTATAAGACGTCAAACTTTCAAGTGTGTGGCGTTTTCTTGATAGAAATAATGTATTTTTAAATGTTTAGATTTATGTGTATATATATATGTGTATATATATATATATATATATATATATATATATATAATATCCCCAGAGATACACTACACTTGTACAGTAATATATTTAGATGCACAAACTAGTCTAGAGGATGAGATATTATTGTACTGAGCTTTACAACATGCCAAAAGGCTTATTTTTCTTTGTCACCCGGACTCATCAGATAACTGAGCAGTTCTGTATCTCAACTTCCCATGTGTGTATGTATGTAAAAAAATTTTTATTATTTTTCTTTCTTTTCCCCATAACCCTCTGGTAAAATTGGGATGAGCTGTGTTGGTCGTTTCACTTTTACTATATACTGCATTTTACACGGTAAATATTACAGCCTTCACTGGTTGGCAGCAGAATAGTGAATGGTCTATGAAAGAATAATAATTATAATAATTGGTATTTTAAACCCAGTGCGCCATTTCAAAACAATGATGGTAGAACCATTTGACTAGTTGCATGTATAGCATTCTAGAATAAAGTCCATCAAAAAACAAGAGGAATGGTTCTGATGGAGTCCTACCCCGTGCCTCTACTCCTCTGGTAAAAAGAGTATATGTAGGCAAGTTTCACACTTATTCTGAGATCAGCCTTTAGCTGCTTTGTTTAAATTTGTTACATTTTCTTTCTTTCTTTTTTCCTCTCACATTTCTGTTTTCCAATTCAGTGAGGCTTTAATTAAGAAAAGAACTGGCCAGAGTTTCACACTACCTCTGGAACAAAAAACAATAACTTAAAGAAAAAAAAAAAGAGAAAAAAAAAACATAAAAACAAAAAAACTAAGAAAAATGTGCTATGAATTGATGCATTGCTAATAAAATATTATAAATGAATAAAAAAAAATTTCTTTTTTCCAAGTTTTCTTGTTTAAGAAAATGTAAAAAATAAAAAAATAAATAACATGGCCAATTTGTAACATTAAATGACATGCTGTGTGTAAATTATTCATAAATTCTTGTGTTTATATTAAAAAAAAAATGAATCAGTAGATAAGAATTTTCAACATGTTTTTTGTATATTATGTTGTAAGAATTTATTCCTGTTATTGCTATATACGCTGAATTCTTTACATTATTGAAAAAAAGGAAACTTTGTCTATTTTGAATGGCTGAACCTAAAGCAGTTTTAGTTTCTCTTACTCTGCTTTTTTTCTAGTAGTTCAAGTACTACAAGATTTAAGTTAAATAAAAGAATTCTGTATGCAACTCTGTCTTTATTTTGTTTGTTATAGATAAAACCAAAACTGTGTATATTTGTTTGTGTTTTAGTTTGCAGTACAAGTGAATTATTAAAATTAAATGTGTAAAAAAAAAAAAAATATATATATATATATATATTTGTGTTAGGTGCTTATGATAGTACAGTGTGAAATACCATAAATAAATGTAGGATAGTAAAAAGAGCAAGTCGGTTGTGGTGTGCCGGAACCGACTATGAGGTAGGCCTGAGAAAGAAGAGGGCCTACCCAGGGAAAGAAAATAGAAAATAAATGTTAAAGTGTGGTGGGAGGGTCATTCAACGCTGACCTCGAACGGTAAGGAGCCAGCTAAGGAAAGTGCCTTAAGTAGGCTAGGGGTAGCAAACCAGCACCTCCCACAAATCCAGGCAAATTGCCTTAATACTTGTGTTAGGTGCTTATGATAGTACACTGTGAAATACCATAAATAAATGTAGGATAGTAAAAAGAGCAAGTCGGTTGTGGTGTGCCAGAACCGACGATGAGGTAGGCCTGAGAAAGAAGAGGGCAAAAATTAAGTAATCAAATTTATTACAGACAACCAATACATATACATTTTATCAACCAGACATGTTTTTGAAAGCCTCCCTTAATTCTTGTACTGGGTTCGGTATGTACCGTGAGTAAGCAGATGACTTCCAGCGCCCCAGTGTTTTGATAACATGAGTTGGGATGTTGACACTGGAGGCTGTGGACGCGGCTCCTATACGAAAGGAGTGCCCTGAGTATTTAGCTGCGTTGAGGCCCAGTTGTGTGAGCAAGGACCTGACGTAGGTCATGAAGGTTGTAGTGGTGAGTACTGCACCTTGTAGCTGTAGTAATGGTTGTGAGGGCAGTAAGTTATGATGCTGTATGTAGGCATCAAGAACCCTGACAGGACACCATCTGTTGTGCGTGGGACAGTACGGTATGTTTACGGGTATGTGCTGACTGGTTTTGGAGTGAGGTTAAGTCAGGATGTAATGATCCATATGTTTTGTCAAGTGGGAATAGAGGAGGAACGGAGTAGTTTGATTCGTGGAGGTTGTAGTGAATTCTCTAGGTCTTAGAAATCCATAGAAAGCGATGTATATTGCTGTTTTGATGACAGAATTTGTATTGGTGTCAAACGGTTTTAAGTCAAGCAGGTTAGACAATGTTTTGAAGATATGGTTATCTATGGGTAGCCTCTGGGTTGTATGTGTGGGTTCTGATTTCTGAATACCTCTGAGTATGGTCTTAATTTGGTGAGAGGCCATGAAACTGTTGTTATTTGGGTGTAAGATTAGCATGTGGTGTTGAATGTCAGTGAGATAGAGTTTGATGGTGTTATATGACATTTTAAGTTTAAGGTGGCAAAAGGAAGCAAACCCCCCAAAAAGATGTCATAACAAATGGTTGCATTATGTTATGTTCCAAAAGGAATCATTTGAATAGTGTGAAAGCCCTGTTGTATGTTTTGTGTGTATTGTTTGAAAGTGCCAGTTGGGACAATGTCCTGCTATGCTGCATGATGGTGTCTAGTCCAGTATGAGTTGTTGAAATGTGATGGTGGCTGTGGGCGCAGCTGACGGGAGTGATTGATGAAACTCCTGAAATTTAAAGTGAGACAAATTGTCAGCAGCTGTGTTACATACACCTGGAACATGGAAACAACATAGGAAAAAATTATGACAAGCTGCCAACCAAGTGAGTTTCCTCAGAAATATCATGATCGTAAGGGATTTGGAACGACCTTTGTTGATGTGACAGGTTGCCTGGTTGTCTGAGTAACAACGCACTGGCATATTAGCCCATAAATGACCCCATGCTACGGCAGCCACCACGATGGGATAGATCTCAAAAAGAGCTGAGGTAGTGGAAAAACCTTCCAAACCCTGAACTGCTGAAGGCCAGCTGCCTCAAAGCCATTGTTCCCAAAAATTGCTGCAAAACCAGTGGTAGATGCCGCATCTGACCAAATGGTAGGAGAGGAGTCAGTCAATTGAGGGAGGAACATACTTTTACCATTCCAAGTGGTTAAAAATTTCTTCCACATGTTTAGATCTGCCGTAGCTTGGGTATCTAAGGACAACCTGTGCGTGTCATGTAGGAAAAGTGGGAAAAGATGAAATAGTCGTGAAATAAAGGAGCGGCCTTGAGGTATGATGCGCATAGCAAAATTTAGTGACCGTAGCAGGGACTGTAGCTCTTTGCGGTTGCAAGTACCGAGCTGAAGGTAGCTGTTTATGTAAGTGAGAATATTCTCTATCTTATCGTATGGTAGGCTTGCTTGCATTGTGGCGGAGTCTAATTGGATACCCAGAAAAGTGATAACCGTGTCTGGCCCCTCTGTTTTCTTTAGGGAGATAGGTACTCCTAGTTGCTCAAGTAGCTTAATGGTAGCTTTGAGACTAGTGGGAGGCGAAGTATTCTCCTCGACCAGTAGGAAATCGTCCAGGTAATGTAATAATAGGGGCATCTGGCTATGTTCAATAGTAGGGATCGACCGATTATCGGTTTTCGGCAATATCGGTATCGGCCAATTCAGATACCGATATTGCCGATAATATCTTCTAGGACCGTCAGGCTCATTACAAGCTTGCGCTTACTCACCTCCCAGCAGCTCCCAGTGTAAGTCTCGTGAGACCCGCGGCCGTCAGAGCGTTGCCATGGGTAACCATGGCAACACTCCACGCAACACGCTGGCCGCGAGAGTTCCACTAGAGAGCTGGAGGAGCTGCTGGGAGGTGAGTAAGCGCTTGCTGCCCGCCCCCCCACAGCTCAGCCAATGCCACTGGACCACCAGGGACTGCTATATCCCCCCTCCCTGGCCATGTATGAAACAGGGAGGGGGGACAACAAAAATAAATCATAATAATTAAATATAAAAAAATTTTTTTTAATAAATTCCCCCTCACACACACTCTATTATATACATGTACACTACACAAACACACTGTGTATATAATGCAGTGTGTGTGTTTGTATAGTGTGTGTATATAATGCACACAAACACACACACTGCATTATATACACACTATACAAACACACTGTATATAATGCAGTGTTTGTGTAGTGTGTATATAATGCAGTGTGTTTGTGGTGTGTGTATATAATGCAGTGTGTTTGCATGGTGTGTGTATATAATGCAGTGTGTTTGTGTAGTGTGTTTATATAATGCACACTACACAAACACAATGCATTATAAACACACACACTGCATTACATAAACACTACATTCACAAATACACACTCTGCAATCATTATATACACACACTACACAAACACACACACTTTGCATTTAGTGTATATATAGCATTCACTTTACGCACACTACCCACACACTACACAAACACTCTGCTTTCATTATATACACACTACACTAATACACACTGCATCCACTACGCACACTAGACAAATACACACTGCATCCACTACACAAACACATATTGCATCCTCAACACACACACACTACACAAACACACACTGCATCCACAACACACACACACTACACAAACACACACTGCATCCACAACACACACACACTACACAAACACACAATGCATCCACTACACACACACACACACACACACACACACTACACAAACATACACAGCTCCCCTGTCTAAACATACTGCATCCACTACACGTGGCCTGTATATTTTGTGCATTTACCTTTAGAAATAGTTTTTATTTTCCAAAATGGTAAATGTACAGAATATCGGCTATCGGCCTGAAAGTTCACAGAATATCGGCATCGGTATCGGCTCTAAAAAATCAATATCGGTCGATCCCTACTCAATAGTAACCAGCATAATGCTTCTGCAAATGTGTCGAAAATAGCTGGGCTACCTTTGGACCCAAAAGTTAACCGGGAGAAAAAGTAGTAGTTCCCGGACCACTTGAAGCCATGCAGGTGCCACAGTGTGGGGTGGATTGGTAGTAATATCGGTCTTACTGAGCCAGGCTCCAACCCCTGCTTGTATGATAGCGGTAATGGCGTGATCTATGGTGGTGTATTGCAGAGAAAATTCCTCAGAGGGTATGAGGGAATTAAGACTGGGGTTGGCCGATGAGTGGGGTGCCGATAAGTCAATGATGAGTCTCTGTTTTTGGGAAGATTTCCCTGTGACAATACCAATGGGGTTGGTGCGCCATTCTATGAATGGAGGAGTTCTAAAAGGCCCCAATACGAAGCCCTCATCCACTTCTTGGGCTATGAGGGTGTCAACCGCTGTGGGGTTGTGTTGGGCGGATTGTAGATTAGGGCATTCCAGAGTTCCGGCTGGTATGTGTAGGATACCTGTATGGAAGCCTTCTGTTAAACCAGAGATAAGAAAGTCTACTAGGTGTCTAGATGGGTGCTGAGACATAAATGTCGTGAATACTGGCATATTAATGGATGTTAGGTAAGGCTTGGAATACATTTTATTTGGACACATGGTCTTTGCATGTGCCCTAAAACATTTTGAACAGACATGCAATAGTCTACATCCACTGTAATTACAAGACCCAACATTGAAATTATTACATATCTGGGACTTGCCCAGAAACTTGATTGGGTGTCCCAGTTTGTCTCTTGACAACTTCCCTGGATCCCCAGAGGAACTATCTCCTTGCGTGGAGGCATGTTCGTCCGCCGTGTTGGGACAAAAATTTGTAGTATGGGCTGTGGAGGAGCAGTATGCACAAGCCGGTGTTCTAAGACCTGCAAAGTGTCTGCAAAAAATGACGGAATCAATCTTTCCCCAGTTGGATCGTGTTCCGTACTGGGAGAAGGCTCCAGACACTTTTGCAGAAAAAGACCTATGGTAGTCATAGAAGGCTGAACCACCATATTTGTTGCCCAGGTCTACCAGCTTGTGCATATAGAGATCAAACTCCTCTCTTCTGTTGAGCTAGACCGCACAGATGACATCCCTGTAAATACCAAAAGCTAGTACAAATTCAGGGATAGTCAGTTTCCTGTTCAGGCGGGCATCCCTAGATCTGACAACAACAGATACATCATCATAAGCATACGTCTTATTCTCAACAATATCCTGGGAGGCAATCAACAGGGAAGCCAGGTTGACTTCTTTACCTTCCAGGATATCCCTTTTTATGTGCTCAGGTATCATATGAGCCGGGCTAACTTCCTGGTCATCCAGGGTGATGGCTGGAGCAACTAATGGCAAGTCGGCTGGTGCTTGTGAAGCAGCAGCGGGTGGCCCTGCTAGAGTAAGGGCCATGGTGACCGACTCAAGTTTCTCCAGCCTGGTGTTGACCTTGCTCATGGACGCCATTAGTGAGGATAACATGGCATGTATGTCTCCTGGGTTGGACTGGCTAGGTCCTTCCCCGGCATCCATGTTATTTGTCGATGTGCGTAGCAGTTTGAAAAGTCTCCTCAATTCCGTGGTTATACGCGGGATCGTCCAGGATCTGATCGATGCTGGACTAGCTAGCTCTCCTCCTTGTGTGGGAGTGACAGCTCTAGCCGGCGTGCTAAGCAGGGAGAAATCCTCTACCCCTTCCTGAGACATACTATAAATAAAACAATTAATTGGTATATGAAACCACCAAATTGTACTGGCAGGCTAGCTAGGCCGGATGGCGAAACATTATACTTGTTTGGTGACAGATGAGGCCCTGCTAATTGACAAGCGGCTTGAAAGGCTCTATCTATGCGTTGGTGCGAGTGGTTATTGAGGCCACTCGACATAGTGGCAAGAGTTTTGGGCCTCTTGGTGACTGTAAGACAGAAAACAGGGGAAGGGAGTGACAGGTGAGGCCCTCTCTATGCAACATGCGAGGCGGCTAGCTAACGTGTGGCCCGATGGGTGTTTGCCTCTGAAACGTTTGAGGTGGGGTGTTGGCCTCGCGGGACCACTAACTGATGGCAATTGCCAAGACGGGGTAAATACCTATTGGGAAGCCTGTGACCCTATTGCCAGTACTCTAACCTAGGGGGACGAAATGAAATGTATGGTAAAATACCATATGAGCAGGTGTACGTACCTGGTAGTATGACAAATTCACAGGAATAGACCGTGTGGAGCAAATATATATATATATATAAGCTTGACTGCCTGAAATGGGTAAAAGAGAGTAGTATGATGAGTGTGGATTGTTGGAAAGAAAACAGACTTATAGCCTGTAGCAGCAATGTTTTTGAAAATGTTGATACCATGGGAATAGATATGAGTTACTCAGAAATGTTGTCATACTTAAATAAGACATCTGAGGGAGGCCGTGGCCTATGTACAAACAACATATGTGTTATATGATAATGGTGTGTAAGGGAAACATAAAATGTAGGTTATATATATATGTATATTACTGTGCAGGAAACGTATGATTGGTTGGTTCAGTACGTGTGATTCAACCCGAGTATGCATGAAAAGGAGTTAAAGCCTTATGTGTCATGGTCATAACAAAGAAATGAGGCCTGTAACCTAGGCTGAGTTAATTGAAATGAAATGGATAATTATGAAAACTCCTGTAAACATGGGAGTTCAATGATCCATACAGAAATGTAGCTGGTTTAATAGAAAAGAACATGGATGAGGTCATGGCCTATTTTACACAGCGTTATGTGTGATATGTAGTAGAATAACAAAAGGGGCAGGGATACAAAAAAATGCTTAAAGTGATGCAAAGTGATGTGTATATATATGATAAATCTGTATTGAAAAAGACGTATGATTGGTTGGATCATTACGTGATTCAACCCGAGATTTATTGCTTGTAAATGAAACTGTATCCTTTTGTATGTGTCGTAGTAATAACACAGAAATGAGGCCTGTAATGTAGGCTGAGTCCATTTGGATAAATGGATAAGTAATGCAGACTCCTGAAAGCGTGGGAGTCAAAATGATCTATACAGATAAGTGAGCTTGGTTGTATGGACATAATACAATACTGAAACATTTAAAGGGTAATAGAAATAATCTGTCTAAACAAGCAATTCGTTAACCGAATGTATATACATGAAATGGTGAATATAATCCACGAAAGGATTATGCGTAATACATAGAAATACAACCGAAACCCAATGTGAGGGAAAACAGAAGTTGGAACGAATAGTTTAAACGTATGAACTTATGCGAACCACAAGCGTGTTTGAAACGTGTATTGAAAATTGCCGAACGGCAAAACAACCGAATTGATAATCCGTTTCAATGTAACATGGAATAGTTATATGCGAAATGACTATTTGTACGAATATACTGTTCAGCCCGAATGACCGTATGAATGAAAAACCCGCGAACAGCTTGTACCATTCGTGACATAACAGGGAAAACTGTAAAGCGAGGACCCGTGCTGTACCGTACGCCGTGGGAACCAGTCCTGGCGTGACAGGTAGGTCTGACTTATGGTTTAGGAGTCCCTGGGAGGCTATCTACGTCGAAGACGAGGGTCAGAAGAAGCTGGACGGGCGGAAAAAGCCTGAACAGGATTCCTGACACAGCTATCGCGGTAAAACCTCGTGGATACTGAAACCAAGATGGCGTCTGAGAGAACCCGGAAGTGGATCCTCATTCAACGCTGACCTCGAACGGTAAGGAGCCAGGTAAGGGGAGTGCCTTAAGTAGGCTAAGGGTAGCAAACCAGCACCTCCCACAAATCCAGGCAAATTGCCTTAATACATATATTTAAGGCCGCAGGCCTGTATTTGTGGGAGGAGTTAGCGTTCCAATAAAACGCTACTCCCCCTTCTTACCTTTGCCGTGATGTTGCTGTTCACACCTGGTTAGCTCACAACTCCTCGTCAGCCCGCACTTCTGGTTTCCGGCAGCCGTTCGTACTTCCATCCTCCGTTCGGGGAAAAAATTCAGTCTGACCACTTTCAGCGCCTTTACGCAAACACACGAATCATTCGCATATACGATTTGATACATGTTTCAATATCCATCCGAACAAACAAACTAATGACTTTCAGACCTGCTATACCAGGTCCATTCATTTAACAATTCAAGCACTTTACTATGCTTTGGCTTAGGGAATGGTAGTATACAGTGTAATTACAGAATTTAGAAGTTATTGCCAGACCTTTGAC